TTCAAGATAATTTTCCTCTTCCTGAATGCTGCAGAGGTCTCACGTAGGATCCTGGCTCTTCCCCTGTGTCTGTGAGCGGCCTCCCCAGACCCAGTCCTGGCACAGATGGCCTTGCCTGTCCCCTGCCCTACCTGAGTCTGACTTTTCCTTTCCCCCACTAGAGGGCAGGATTCCTGGTCTAGCGGCTTCATCCAACGCAGTGAATACTTTCTCATCCTCCCCGACTAGACCTCTGAGGCCTTGAACCGGCGGTTTGCAAACTTTTAAAATCATGGACTCCTACTGGTAAAAAAATTTGGGGGCTTGCATCATCCCCCATTACACATAGATTATAAAAGGCACACGTGTCACTCTCTCTATATATTAAGTACTAACCAAGCTGAATTTTTTTTAGATAAAATAACTGTGACTAGAGGTTCTGATCGTTTCTTCCCATGGATACTTGCACGAGCTGCACATTCGAGGTTCATCCTCACCCAAGGGGCCCATGAGAACCACAGTCCTCAGTCCTGCTCTGCTGAGGCTCTTCTCAGTCCTGCTCAGTTTGTGGGCTCGACTCGCGGGTTTCCACCAACCCCGTCAATGTGCTCCATCCTGGAGACGATCTCTGAAGTCCCCTGTCAGAGGTGGCCGGAGGTTGTGGGAGGACTGGGGCAGGCGGGAGCCCCGTGTCCTTGCTCTCCGCTGCAGGTGGGTGTCTGCAGAGGGGGCTGGAGGGAGGAAGCCCCTTTTTATCCTCCCTGGGATGGGAGGGGGGCTCTGTGTGCGTGAGCCCAGGGCTCCAGAATCAAATTCCTCATTCAAATGCCAATATGCGGCGGGAGGGGGGTGAAAATTCCCACCATTACACCCCCAAACCTGCTGACCGCCCCGAAGGCCCAAGACACGGAGGCAGCCTGTGGGCGGATCCTGGAGCTGCAAGAGGGAAGAGTCCAGAGGGACCCATTCGAGAGGCTGGGAGGTCATTTACAAAGCACAGCTCGGCCCGCGTTGTCAGGGTGGTGCAGGCCTGCGCCCCTCCAGGGACAGAGACACGGGTGGGAGTGGCAGGTCGAGGTTCAGGGCACCAGGGAAGCCGCTTCCCCCACCCGCCGCATCGCACTGGCACCGGGGCCTCCGCTGGTCTCTCCCTTGCAAGGCTGCCTGGCATTTGACAGTGTTTAATGAGGAGGTTCCTCTGGCAGCCCTGGGAGGCCTGTGGGAGGTGGGCACGCAGCCAGGAGAATCCCAGAGACTGCCGGGTGTGCAGCCGCCGGCCTCGGAACCGGTGATGTCATGCTCACTGGGGTCCCGGCAAAACAAGCCCCGTGTTGTCACTGCCCCCTGGCAACCAGGCGCCACCCTCCCGACAGGGTGGCTGTTCCGCACCAGGCCACCTCCCCTCCCTCCCTGCCAGGGGGAGACGGGAAAACCTTTATTGTCACATAAAAGCCAATCCCAGATATGAGAGATGTCTTTTAAAATGCATCTTGCTGAAGAGGGATTTCCATAGCAACTTCAGAAGTGTGTGTACACGACTAGAGATAAGTCCAGGCTGGCGACGGACACCTGGAAGGTGTGCAAGTCCTGCTCGGGACATCAGCAGCCAGGGGTTTTGCTAGAAGCTGTCATCCTGCTCTGTGACCCAGGGCAAGTCACTCACCCTCTCTGATGTCAACAGTGATAGATTCATAATCACATCAAGCCAAGAGAGCTCAAGGTCCTCTCATCCATACCCCCCCAACACACCCCAGTTTGACGTTTCAGTCCCTCAAAGCATCCCACGCTCCCAGTTTCTGTCCAGTCTCTGGCTGAATAACTCCTGCCTCAAGGTCTCTGCCAGTCTTACTTATTAGCTGACTTTGGGAAAGACAAGGATCATTCAAACTTGATTCTAAAAGAAACCGGTTGGTCTTTGTAAGAGAAGAGCGTTGCCTAATTGGGGAATGATGCACTCACTCATGTGTGTGTTCCCCAGATCAGGTTCTGGGGAAGTCCTCGAGATGCTGAGGTCTGGGGATGGGAGGTTTCTTGGAACCGCTCACAGGGGCCTGGAGGAAGCAGGAGGAGCAGAGTCCTCCAGTCACCTCTCAGGGACCCCAGATTTATCCTGCAAAGTACTGCCCTGAGAAGCCAGAGACACCCGTGACCCCTGACCAAGGACTTGACCTGGGAGGACCCAGGCAAAGCCAACCCAACCCAGGCTGGGAGTGAGGGCCGGGTCCTGGGGGAGCAGCCGGGCGACCCCAGGTGTCCACCACTCACAGTGTGCTTGAACTGCAAGGAGGCCAGCCCTGGAGACCAAGGGACATGGAGTGGCCATCAGAGGCGGGCAAGGCAGGGGGACTGGGGTTCAAGTGTCAGTTTCCATGGCCCTGAGAGTCGCACACTAAGAGAACTGGTAGAAGAGCCAAAGCCACGGTCCCCCCGTTAAGTGCAGGATCCAGTGGGCGGATGAGGCGTGAAGCTCAGGGCCAACAGACAGTCACACCAGGCTTCCCACTTCCAGGCTCTGTGACCCTGGCCAGTTATTTTATATCAGCAGACTCCAATATGGGGACATCAAGGTCCTTCTGCCATCAGAGTGTTGTGAGGACAAGTGGAGGGGGCAGATGAAGCATCTGACATAGAGGAAGCACAGGGTAAAGCAGGAGCAATGACAATGTCCTCCCCTCCCATGTACACAGCCAAGTAGAAGACTTTTTGGCCAAATGGATTTTCCACAAGAGAAGGGAAGACTTTATAAATTCGAACTAGTTCTTTGAGAGTTTTATATTTTCTCCCATACTGGGGACTGAACTCAGGAGTGCTCTACTACGAGGCTATATTCTTGGCCCTTTTTGATTTTGTTTTGAGACAGAATCTCACCAAGTTGCAGAGGCTGGCCTCAAGCTTTCGATCCTCCTGCCTCAGCCTTCCCAAGTCGCTGGGATCATAGGCGTGCACCACTGTGCCAGGCTTTTGTTCTTTGCTTCTCTGTGCCTTTGTCTTGGTCCTGGGGTGGGGCTGGTGAGTCATGGTTGCAGACAGAGGCCGGGGGTGTTGGGGAGGCCCAGGCTCAACTCAGCCTGAGTTTGGAAACTATGAAGGGCCATTCACTATCAAGGAAAATGCAACAGAGTGTTTTGCAAACTACATGCTTTGAGACATGTTTACTTTCCAGTAAAAAAAAAAAAAAAAAAAGTGACAGTTTCAATCAACAATGAAACTCATTTGTTGCGTGTTCAAGCTCTTGGCTGATCTGAAATACATGCCAAGCCGTGATTGGGAAACTCGAAAGACTTCAAATACCTTAAAGGGATCCACTAATTCAGTTATGAGTGCTGTAGAAAACTTGACTTCCATCAACTAGAAAGGAAAACAGGACGAGTACAGGCCACTGTATGGCGTCGGTCTGTTCTAATTATAAATAACAGCCACGGAATTCCCAAGAGTCATGCAGGAACCTACGCAATTCCTATTAATAATCTTTACTACCACTGTATGGCAATACACGGCTCCTATACATCACCTAGTGTGACTCTGATGACAAGTCCTGCAAAGCGGGCACTAATATCTCTACTCACAGATGAGAATGTTGAAGCCCAGAAAGGGAAGTGTCTCCACTACAGGGAGAGTGTCACCAGAGCATGCAGTGGAGCCCAATGGGAGCGCATGTTGAGATTTCAGCTCCCACGCAAGGACAGGGGTCTGCAGATCCGGTATCGTGTGGCCCTGGGCTCTATCTGTGAGAAAGTTCTCACTTCACTGGTTTTCAGAGACGAAACCTGCCACCCTTAAAGAGACAGGTCTGCTCAGCAGAGTATCCTCTCCATTTGACTATGTCTCACTGGCCAAAAAAAAAAAAAAAAAAATCTGAAAGAAATCTACAAACAGAACATCTCAAAATAGGTGGGAAATGGGGTTCAAAGCACCCTTGTGAGATACAGGAAGGCTGAGTCTTCTCCACACTTCTTTGCCTTGTTTTATCTCGGCTAGGTTCCCCGTGCAGAGGTGGTTTGACGATAAAATGGGAAAACACTGATGAATGGAGGAAGACTACCAGGATTTGTGTAAACTACAGAGGATGCTTTCTGACATGACATTTTTTTTTTCTCCTGGGAACATATCTTGATTCTATTTCAACTCATCCTCACTTTTCAATGAGAAAACTGAAGCTCGGAGAGGTTAAGTAACTCGACCTTCGTCTCACGGCAACTTGGGGGCAGTGTCCAGGTTTCTAATCTAGGTTTGGACTCCATGTGTGCAATCAGGTTAAAAAGAATCTCCAGGCGCAGCTCGAAAGGGAGAGAGGTCCCAGAGGGCAGCCTCAAGGTGGTGGCAAAGGGCGGGAGCAACCTTGAGCCCTGATGGTGGCTCTCCTGGGGAACTGGCATGATGTGGCAGAGCCTGGGATCTCTGTGACGCCACGTTCCCCTTCTCTCCCACCTGCTACTTCTCTGAATCACGGCCCCATCTATCCCATCAATGAAGTGCTCCTCAGCCTTCAAAGTGCCCGCCAACCAGGCTGGGAACTTGTCGCCTATCTGGCTCCCCCTCAGCAGCTCTGGGGGAAGGCAGGGTTGTGCCTTGTAACAGATGACCTTGAAGCTGACCCTGCCCAGCCTGACCCACCCTTGGGGAGCAGACAGAGCGGGGGGTGGGGCCATGAAGAGGGTTTTGGGCGGATGCTGTTGAGAACCGGCTCAGAGGCTTCATTCCCACGGTGGGCATCATTAAAGAGACCAAAGCGGGCCAAGTGTGGGACCCAGGACGGGTTAACCATGTGACCAGAAGGTCCTGACACGCTGGTGTACCCAGGGAGCGCAAGTCAGGCGTCTCCTGTGTCCCCGGCTTACCTTGGTGCCTGGGCTTCGGTATCCAGCGCGGGAGGCCCAGCTGCGCCCTCCTGGGCCCACCGGCTCCCTGGAGGGACTGGGCAGTCCTCCTCCGAGCACACCCTGGGCCTCGCGCTCCCCCTCCCTTACCTGGTGGGCTCTGCTCAGGGGCCCCCGTGGGTGGGGACAGGACGCTGGGAGTACCTTTCGCAGACTCGGACGGTCCAGGCGGCGATGATCCACAGGGAGATGCTGAAGACGAGCAGCACGGTGCCCGGGCAGATGGTCATGAGCGTCTTCATGACGAAGCGCGTGTTGAAGTTGATCTTGTTGAGCGCCCCGATGCTGCGGGAGGAGGCGTCCGTGAAGAGCTTGCTGTGCAGCAGCATGACGCGCGCGATCAGGTAGAGGCGCAGGAACATGGGGATGGACAGGATGATGTCCACGTCCGCCTCGGCCCGCGACGGCGTGTAGGAGAAGGCCAGGCGCGCCGTCCAGAAGAACTTGTACTCGCCGGGGATGGGGTGGATGGCGCACACCAGCATCTCGAGGCTGATGTAGAGGATGCGCTCGTAGGTCATGGCTATCCGCCAGTCGTCCGCACCGTTGTCGATCACGAAGAGCTGCGGGAGCACAGAGGGTTAGTTCCCGGGGCCAGCACTGGGCGGCACAGCAGTGCTCAGGGGGCGGGCGGCTGCCGGGCACGGGTCAGCCTGGCACCTGGGCCTCCCATAGGGGCCTCCAATAGGGGCCTCGCTTTCCTCCTCCGGAAATGGTTTCCTGGGATGTTGGGATTGACTAGGGGTGGAGTTCCGTAGTGAAGTGCCTTCCTAACGTGACTGAGGTCCGTCCCCGGCACCACCAAAAAACAAAGCCCGAGAGTTCTTCATTCTGGATTAGACCCACAACAAGGAGACCCCGAGGCGCTGGGTAAGGGCTGGGTGGTAGGTAGGGCACCTGCCTGGCATCCCTGAGGCCCTGAGCCCGGGCACCAAAAAGGGGGAATTCCCCAGGTGTTAAGTGTCATTGAACGCAGATGTGAGGACTGTGGCTGGGGGGGGCCTCCCTGCCCCACCCTGCCCCCCACCAAGGGAGCCAGGCTGGAGATTAGGCTGACCATGGGTGGCCAGTGACTTATTCAGTTCCACCTATGCAATGAGACCTCCATAAAGACCCAAGGACAGGTCCGGAGAGCCTCCCTATTGCCAAACCCATGGAAGTAGCTGGAAGATGGCCTCTTAGAAAGGCCTGGAGCTCTGGGCCCTTCCCCCAAGCAGCGGCCTCTGGATCTCTTCCATCTGCTTCTTCATCTGCAATATACTCTGTCGTCAACCAGCAACTGTGTCCTCTGAGCTCTGTAAATTTCTCTAGCAAATTCATCAAATCTAAGGAGGAGACCATGGGAGCCCTGGTTTAGAGCGGATTGGTCAGAACCACCAGGGGGGCTCTGAAGTGGGGGTGGTATGGCGGGACTGGGCCCTTAGCCTGTGCCGTGTCATGCTAACTTCAGGGTGTCCGCGGGAGAACTGCTTGTCGTGTGGACAAGAACTCCACCAATTGGGTGAGCAGAGTGTTCTGTGTTGCGGGAGGGAATTGGGAGGAGAGAACAGTTGGGCAGGTTCTGGCTATCCACTTCCAAGGTCCCTTCCAGTCTGAGGTGCCACTTCGTGACAAGGAGCAAGAACAGCTCTTTACTATTAAAAACACATCCCCACCAGGCCCCGAGCTACTGGAGGAGGCTGCAGGGATGAAAATTGAAGTTTCCTGCATGACTGAACTCACAAGGGCTGGCACAGAGTCCTGCTCCCCGCTCAGAGCAGGGACCCGCAAGTGTCTGCTGGCAGTGCTGTGCTCCGTGTGCCGTGCGGTGCTCCTGGCACGGACTTTGGAGCGGGCTGCCTGATCTTAGCACTAATGTGCTCTGTGATCTTGTGCACGTCACTGAACTTCTCTGGAGCCTCAGTTCTGTTATCTGGGGATGATATTATTTGCTGCACACGGGTCACTCCGAGGCTGTAATGGATTAGTATATACAATGTGCATAGAATCCTGCCTAGCACCCAGCACTGACTATTAATAGTGCAGTTATCAGCTATTAGTATTAGCTATTATTATTATTTTGGTGGGTGTCTTAGTCTTTCTAGAAAGTGAGACTTGGGCTCAGTATATCTAAGTTCCCTTCCAGGCCTAACTTTCCACAAAGCTGGAGATGCTTGCTGTCACTTCATGAGATTGCACACGCACACAAGTGGTCACTACGCACCTGCTGTTTCCTAGCCTGTGCTTGGTGCTGGGGTTCACATGTGCAAAAGGCTCAGCTTTTGTCCTCAAAGGAGGCTCATTGTTGGGTCCTACCATGTTCAATGACTGCAAAAGGGACTTCACGGGGCTGGGGTGGTGGCTCAGTGGTAGAGAACTTGCTTAGCATGTGTGAGGCACTGGGTTCAATCCTTGGCACCACATATAAATAAATAAAGGTCCATCAATAACTCATAAAAATATATTTTTTTAAAAAACGGACTTTACATCCTTCCTCTCTGCAGCCTCCATCTCCACATCCATAAAACGAAAGGCCTTGAAGTCCCTGTGCAGCTCCGCCGTGCCCCAGGGTCTGATTCTTGGGGGCTGAGACGGTGTGTTGGGTGTGAGGCCTCCACACAGCTGTGCCCCCCACTTCGGAGAGGCCCCGGAGCTGTTCACCACATCATTCTGTCTCTGTTCTGGAACTCAGTGCCCCAGCAGCCCTGGCGTGGCCTGTGCCAGGTCACCCACCCGCACACCCGCTGGGGACTCCAGCCCCACACGCTGCCTGCCCCACTGAGAGCATATGCTCTGCAGGACTCTCGGCGTCCGCAGGGAGGTGGCCACACGGGAGCTGGTGCTCTGGGGCTGTGAGCCGGGAAGAAGGGCACTGCCCAGGCGCCAAGGTCTTAGTGGAATCAGGCTGGCTTAGAAAGAGACTTACCAAATTAAGTCACTGCACATGTGAGCGTGTCCCACTGAGTCCCACTGTCATGTATGACTCTAATGCACAGTAAGTTTTTATTTTATTTTTTTTAAAGAGAGAGTGAGAGAGGAGAGAGAGAGATAGAGAGAGAATTTTTTTTTTTAATATTTATTTTTTAGTTCTCGGCGGACACAACATCTTTGTTGGTATGTGGTGCTGAGGATCGAACCCGGGCCGCACGCGAGCGCGCTACCGCCGCTACCGCTTGAGCCACATCCCCAGCCCCGCACAGTAAGTTTTTAAAAAAGATAATATGGGGCCAGGGCTGGCGGAAGAAGTTTGATTTAGTCTGGAAATTCAGGCCCCCCTCAGGGGGAGTCAGTGAGAGGGAGGGAGGTGGGGGTGGGGGATTGGCCAAAGACTGGGCTCAGCCTCCCTCCCCTCCCTTCACTCTGCCCATCCCATTGCTCCTTCAAGGGTCTGGGCCCCAGGAAGCTTCTGCTTTGTTTGTTGGCTTCATAACCAGGGATGGAACCCAGGGACTTAACCACTGAGCCACATCCCCAGCCGAGGAGAGCCAGGGCCAACGGGTAGGAGGCTGCAGGAGGGAGGCCAAGCTGATGGCGGGTCTCTCTCCTGGCTGAGCCTGGTCCCTTCTCCCTGCCCAGGACCCTACAGATCCACAGTCACCTGTGAATGAACTTCATGAGCCACGGAAGACCATTGACTCCTTCACTCAACCGCTGTGTGCTGAAGGCCCTCCATCTACTGTGGGGGTGGGATTCAGGGTGGGGGAAAGCCCGTGTGATCCGGGTCACCCCCGGGGAGGATGGTGGAGGGGAGGTGACGTCCACAATGGGAGCACCTGGCCAGGGCTCAACAGGAAGCTGTCGCCGCAGAACGGGAGGCGCACAGCACAGCACCAGAGGGAGATGCCCCTCCTTCTCCCCCAGGGCAGGGGAGCCCGGGTTTTCCCAGACGCAGGATCCCCCACCAATTAGAAAGACCTCATGGCCACTCCAAGGGTTCCCCCGGCTCCTGACTGCCACCCAACAGGCCGAGCCATGGCAACGTGACTGCCTGGCCAAACTCTTCCAATATGAAATTAAAACCATCCACCCTGTAATACCGAGCCACCTCCGGTTACTATAGTAACTGGGTTCGCTCTGGGCAGGAGCTGAAGCAATGAGTAGCAGATTTCTTTGATTGCTTGATAGGGAATGGGATTGAATGCCATCTGATGGCAGGATAGGGGGGACAATGGCTCTGCCCTGCTTGGCGGGGGGGGGTACAGGTCCCACCCAGGGCCTCTCAGGTGTCCTGGTGCAGGCGGCGGGGAGGGGGGGGAACCAGGGGGTAGTGGATTTGGAGGCTTGTGAGCTCCCACCTGTTTTCAGCCACGTTGTCTTAGGCCAGTCACAGGACTTGGCACAGCCTGCTCGCCCATCAGTATCACAGGGTAGTGACCTTGACCTTGCCTGCCTCACGGGATCAGTGCTAGGCGCCCTCAACAGAGATAACAAGTGGGACTGTGCTCTGCCAACTACTCTGAAGAGTGAGGGACCCTTAAGCTAGCTGCCAGAGGGCGCTGGATGGGAGGCATCCCTTGGAAGCCTCCGGTGGGCGAGGTTTGGTGGATCTTCCAGAACAGCCATGTCTGTCCCCTATGAGGACACCCAATGCCTTCTACGTTCTGACCCCTGGAATCTGGGCCCTCCAAACCTGTCCTTGCTCCCCTTAAATTGAGGACAGATAACAGCCACCGCCCTCCTGCTTGCTCACCCAGCACCCTGTTCATTCCTTGCCACGTCTAAATCTCAATTACATATTCATTGGACTTTTTCAGGGTTTTGTCTGTCTCTCCCCTTAGACTTATCGTTTTCAACTTGTCTGAATGTTTGAATCACTTGGAAATCCCATTTTTAAAAATCCCATACCCAGGGGCTGGGGTTGTGGCTCAGCAGTAGAGCGCTGGCCTAGCACGTGCGGGGCCCTGGGTTCCATCCTCAGCACCACATAAAAATAAGTGAATGGAATAAAGGTATCATGTCCAACGACAACTAAAAAATTAAATATATAAAAAATCCCATACCCAGGCCCACTTTATATCAAGTACGTCTGAATCTCTGGGGGGCTGAGGCCCTGACATTGGGATTTTTTTCTTAAATCTCCCCAGGTGACTCCAAAATGTCACCAGGATTGGGACTTACTAGTAACAGCTGGAACTCCAAAGGATCAGGGGTTCCGGCAAAGGCTCCGTGGTACCGGCAGGGCCTAGCCCAGATCTTGACATGTAATAGGGGTTCCGTGGATGCTTGAGTGGTGAATCAGTAACCACCGCCGTGTGACCCTGGACCCCAGTCTTCCCTCTCTTGGGCTCAGTTTCCTCCTCTGAGGAAGGAGGGGGTGGAGGAGATGATCCCCAGGAACCTCCTTCTCTAAGGAGCCTCAGTTCTGTGGCTTGTGTGGACTCTCGCTGGCACCTCCCACTTGCTGGTGTCCTCTGTCCATGGGAGCCCTCTGGGGACAGGTCCTGGCTCCTCTCACCTCCTCCCCCTGCCTGGGATGGATGGTGCCTGGCTCACCCTGAGTGGTCTGTTGGGTTTTGGTGAAGGGGCGGGGGGTGGTAAAAGATGGATGCCATATGAAGAATAGGACAGGTTGCCCGTGGCCCTT